TGTGGGTGCCGGGTAGCCAAGGCGGTGGTGGTGGTGGTCAGGCGTGATCTGCGGCAGCGGCGGCCCGTGTTCGGCCGATTGCTGCACATCAAAGGCATCAGTCTCTACAGCGACAAACAACGACCATGTTCTAGACTCGCTAACCAGTCCACGTCCACTGAGGTTACAATCCGAGTGGGCGGGCGAACGGACGGATTAGGCAGAGAGTAAACAGGAGCAACATCAGACAAAGCAATGATGGAAACGACAACAACAGGGTAACCTCGTGGACGGACTGGGCCCGCACGTCGCCTGTTTTGGTGACGGATCTTCCCCCCGCCATTTAAGAGGGTACGACTTCGAAAAAGTGCGATTTCTTGAAATTTCGGTCCCAAGGTCCCTTGGTGAAAGTTGGATAACTTTCAATTCTCTATCCAATGAGACCAACATGTTTTTTGGGGACTCAAAAAAACAAAGGGGGCTCTATCGATAGAGAATCAAAAGTTATCCCACTTCTACTAAGACACCAAAAGATGATGTTTTGAAGGTTTTGACGTTTTTCAAAGTTGGGACCTCTCATTTGGCGGGGGAAACGCCCGTCACCAAAACAGGCGACGTGAGGGCCCAGCCGGTACCGGTTGTTGTCGAGTTCTACGATGGCATCATTTTCACCGGGCCGGCTGGTCCACGAGCCTAACCATGTTCGAACATTCTCTGCGAAGGCCTGCCGTACCGCATCAATAGAGCCCTGGACTGCATCTCAAGCCTCAAGGCCAGAAAAAAAAATTGCGCAGTTGAACTTGAGCGGCGTTGAACTTGAATAAGAGTTGAACATCAATTGAACATGCGAACCTGCGCCATGCCCAATCGACCTCTCCCTGTACGAATCATCCTGTCAACCGAAAGAGGGCGATCTTGACTACTCCTGCCGAGGAAATTCCGGGAATGCGATCGGATGCCGGATGAAATCATACACATACTCAAACTTTGGTTGGCTTCTTTTCTGTTCTTTCCTGCTCCTGTGTTGAAGCAGACGATGAATTCTTGGCCGATTTATTTGCCACGGTATCGTCCCGAAAGAGCACATAGAGCAAGCCTTCGTGGATCGTGTCCATCGCTCGTACAACATTGTGGATATCCGCTCTTGCACAGTGAGGAGAGGCAGGTTCGAATCCTCCCGGAGCCATAGTAACACCCAGTCCGTTTTTTAGTCCATTAAATTCCCTAAGAGTTCTTGTCCGTGGATGCTGTTTGCGGATACCATTCACACAAATCCCTATCTCCCAACCAATGAAAGTTTGCGGGCTACCGCTGGCAGTTGGTTTTTGTCGTCCCATCCGACTCCCAATTTCTACTTACAACGAGCCCTCCTGGGACGAAACCACAAGCAAGACAGTAAGCCTCCGTGGCTGCCTCGTACGATATTCGCTTCTGTGTTAGATATACTGCACAGCAAGTAGACGGAGGTTCGATTCCTCCCGGAGGCATACGCCCTGGATCTAGATACTGCTTTTTTTGTGTTCAGCTGCCTCCCAGAGCATCTTCCGGTGTTGCAATGGAAAAGGGCTGATTTCGCGGTCCGAGAAGCAGTAACGGGAAATGGAAGGGTTGAGCTTTCGAGGCAGCGCGGAAGCATATCTACCGCGGTGCACTTCTTCTTTGGTTCATCTTGTTCGCTTTTCCAGCGTGGGGAGTTGCGATCCTGTGAACCAGCATCGGCCGATGTAAAGTTCAAACATTCAACCTGTCGCGTGTTGGTTTCACGACTAGCGGGCGTCACAGTAATTGTTTGGGCCCAAATTTGGCTTTCTAATCCACTGACAAGAAAGGCAAGCAGGTACAACAGCACCCTTCGTAGGTTGTGGTGACCGCCTCATTTCAACTCAATCCCTCGCCGATAGAAAACGAGGGCCCGGAGGTTCGAATCCTCCCGGAGGCATGTGCGAAATTTCGAATACTTTTTCTCACCAGTCACCACTTCTTCTGGTCCGTGAGATCCATTCGTTTTGTCGGCCAAAATGAGCTCAGAAAGGGAGAACTCACAACCACACAGATAAGCCTTCCTGCCAGGACACTGTGAGGACCGCCCATACAACATGAGAAGTGGAGGTTCGATTCCTTCCTGAGGCATGGATCCGCCCGCCTGTTTGCTTTACAGCGCTGCGAGTTGAGTCTCTGTGATCCAGTATCGGCCGCTCTAAAACTTAGACATTCAACCTTTCGCGTTTGGATTCCACACGAAGTTTTGCGAGCCCAGATTCAACTTTCTGATCCACTCACACGGAAAGTAGACTCAACGGGAAGCCTCTGTGGGTCGTGGGTCGTGACGCGCCTCGGGCTGTATTTGATCGTCGTCCCCCGCAACATAGCGGAGAGCTGGGAAATAATAAATTCGAACCATGGCAGTGTCCGGCACCGAGGACAAATCTGATCGGTAAGCCGCATCGAGTCACACGGCGATACAAGCCTTCGTGGATCGTGGCGGCCGCCTCCGGACAATATCAGGACCTCTAAGAAGATAACGAGGAAGCGGAGGTTCGAATCCTCCCGAAGGCATTAATAAACGGCGCGGATCCATTTTGCTCGGTTTCCGACCGTTTTGCTGTTCAGAACTTCTTCTCCCTGAGCAGTAATATCGTTCCTTTTCAGAGTGCAGAGAGAGGCACTTGAGAATCGAGTCGTCGACATAGAGTTACAATTTACCAAGCTGTAGGTTAACTTTCCGCGATCGAGATCCAAACACCAGACATAGATTTGAATCGACAGAAGGCGTACAGTGGGGCGAAACCAAGACGGTTCGACGAAACCAGGCGGTCTGAGAGCAACTTTGGAGGGTGTAAGTGGGTGTTTTGGTCGAAGCCCTTGCTTCGGTCGTTGAGACATCGAACGCGAGGATTATAACGACGGGCTCGTACGGAAGAGAAAACAATTATGACATGGTCGTTTGGGACAAGCCAGATTTGTCGCTGTTGCGAATCACAGTCCCCGCCCTTGCCTCACACAACCACACACTCTCCCCAACGGCCATGGCCAAGTCGACGGCAAAATACTCTCCTCCCCTCCGAGGACGAGCCTCTCCTCAAGAGTACCTCCGACGACGAGGAGGACCTCCCCTCCGACATCTCAGACCTTGGCTCGGACACGACACGCACTGCACTCGACTCGGAGTCGCCAGGGGAACAAGAAGCCTGCGAGGGGAGAGCGCAGGGCTCCTTTCCACCGAATGTGGACCCGCGCTTCGAGCAGCCGCCGCCGGCGATGTGGAAGCGCACGGCGCTCTTGTTTGTGATGTTCTTTGCGTTCTGGCTGGCGTTCCAGATCAAGGGGCATAGGGCAGGGGGGACGAAGGTCGTCCATGCGAATCGGTGCGTTTTTCCCTTTCGGTTTTCCGCTTTTCTTCTTCCTCTTTGGGGACCCTTCGTTTCGTTGCTTTGCGAGGCAAGAGGAGCCATGGCGCTAACATGATCCCGCAGATACTCAAAGGAATACAAATACCGCCCCGCTGCCAGCCCCATCATCACCGAGACGCTCAAAGACGGCCGTCTTCGCGTGCGTGGCGCGGCGCCCACCACCAGCGGAACGCTCACACCTACCCCCACGCCGCTCAAAAATCGAAAGCGAAGAAGCGCAAGAGCGGGAAGAAGAAGGGGAAGCCGGCGAAGGGGAAGAAGTACTAGAATGCTGTGTGTATGCAGGTGCGTCGCTCTTGCTGTGCGGGCTGTCCGTTGGTCCTCACTGTCTGCGTGTCTGATCCCAGGACTTTTATTTGGGGCACTGAACAATTTCATCTGCCCTCTGTCAGTCTTTCACGTTTGGTCCGGGATGACCTACAAGCACTGCCCCGTCGTTGAACCTTCTCTTAATCTCCTCAGGTTTAATGGTGTGTACGTGGGCCCTCTCTCTACTCCCAGCGAGGCTTCTCCGCCGCCTTACATACTGGAGGCCGCTTGGCTTCCCCCGACACACCTCGATGGTAGTTCGTGTCTAACGAAAGCCCACAGGCGTGCAGGTGCGTCGTATCTGCTGCCCTTCCTATCTCACCCCTCCTTGAGCGCGAGTGTGGCCCCCGTATGTGTGCGCCGACTGTACAACACATCTCTTTTCACGCGGTGCTCTCGCATACGGCGACACTTGCGACGCCGTGTGCGTATTCCTCGCCTACGACTTTTCTGTTTTCCATTACACCTTGAATAAAAACTTATTTTGTGCCCTTGTATGCAGACACACAAACACAGAAATTTAGCGCTGATCACACGCACGGAGAGGGGGAGCGCAAGAGCAAGAACAAGCCTCATATGCCTCCGTAGGGCGTGGTGACCGCCTCAAAGCCGTGTCCCTGTCAATCCTAGTGGGGAGCCGAAGGTTCGATTCCTTCCGGAGGTGTTATTGTAAAGGATTCGATTTTTTTCTTGCTTCATCCAAGTTAACTGTCGAGTTGAATTTTTCTCCAGCATTGCCGTCCGCAGGGAATAACCATAATTATTGCCACGAACTCTTCTTTCGCAATCAAACCAAACGATCACCGACATGCCCGAACATACAAAATATAACCGTATTCTCTGGGTTCCTTCCGTACCTTGTGAACCGATGAGGAGTCAGCACGCATAACGGTAAGCCTTCGTATCGTGGTTATCCCCTTGCCATATATCTGCGACTGCGGTGGGGTGTACGACGGTATAGTGAGGGTTCGGAGGTTCGATTCCTTCCGGAGGTATGTCAAAGACAAAACATTTCTTTTTTGTTGTGTTGTTCATCTTCTGTGCTTGTGGGCTTGCGTTGTTTTCGGCCGCTACAGCAGGATAGAGAATCTTCGAGGAACGGCAGGGCTCCCATAGTTTTTTTGAATCTAATCGCAGGCTCACAATCAGATGACGGGACTTCATCCGGAAAAAACCCTAATCTTGAAATCTATCTTGAAATGTTGATTGCCAAGCAAGTATTTTTGTGAGTTCATTTTTTGCTCCATAGTCCAACCATACTTAGTCCACTCATAAGGAAAGCAACAGCTCAATGAACCACAAGCCTCTGTAGATCATGGGGATCGCCTCGTTACGATGTAAAGAATCCCCGCGCTGTAGCGAGGAGACGGAGGTTCGAATCCTCTCAGAGGCGTGCATCATCGCTGTATTTTTCTTCTTCCCCTTGGGATGTTGCAGTTATTTTAGCTGGTCCCCTCGCACTCCCCTCGTGATAAAACAGGTTACTTCAAAGGCATCCAAACGCTTGGACTGCTTCAAAATTGATGCAAAACATAGCACGAAGCCTGGAATTCCAAACGGGCACAGCGGAGACGAATCCACAAGCAGAACGATAAGCCTCCGTGGGTCGTGGTGACCGCCTCGCGACAATCTGCCAACCTTCTGTAGGTATAATGAGATAGTACTAAGCATGAAGGTCCGCACTGGACAGCCATAATGTTGTCCTGGTACCGACGGGAGTAAATTCGAAGTTGAAAGTTGAACGGGTGTTGCAAAATATCGTATGCACTCCATTCAAACTCCAAGGGCCCACAGTAACGATTAAATACGTATCGATACTGAGTATATACTGCGTCGTTAGCAGCTGCGCTGGGATCCTCCCCTAGTAGAGATAATATTTCGCTGTGTATTTTACGGAGATTGGGGCAGACCCGGCAACACACTGTGAACCAAGTGTTAACGTCCAGAGCCACTTAACGAGATGAAATACGCTTACTGAAGTAGGAGGCTGCCCGCCGACGGTGTCAATCCGGAAGATTTTGGACGCAAGAGCGCCCTGAGCGTTGTTGAGGGCAAGCCAGTCCACGTTGGTTGAGGGGCTGGTGGGGGCCAAGATGTCTCCGACCTTCGCGCCCATCACGTAGGCCGTGGAATCACCCGCGAATTTACCCGTCGAGGTAAAGTCCCAGAGTGGCGAAAGACCCGTGCCAGAAGGAGAGGTAACGAAGTAGTGGTACTGTTCAAGTTATATCTCGTCAGATCTGTGTTGCGAGCGTACGAACGCCAGCAGCTCACCCCAAGAAGTAAAGGCGCCCCAATGGTGCGGCCAATGGACGTTGCTGTTACGCTAGCAGGGGCCTCGCTCCATACATCGAATGCAACGGTCTGAATGGGGGTGAACAGCGGGGTGTTCTCGAGACATGAAATGTCGAAGAGGGACGCGACGGGCGCCAATCGAGCTGAGTGTTGAGATGAGCGACAGTATACGGCTGTAAATTGAAGATATCTTACGCGTAGGTGGATGTGGTGCTCGAACAGGAGTAATTCTGAACGCCGACACCCAGCATCACAAAAAGAGGGGCCGAGGTGGGATTCACCAGTGCTGTCTGGTTTGTGGGAAGGTCCATCACAGCTTTGGAACTATCGCATCCCGTAGCAGCAAGGGGTGTGCTCGATACAAGGAGCGCAGCGGCGGAAAGAGCGCCGACAAGTTGGACGGTGAACATTTTAGAGAAGCGGGAGGGAAGAAAGAATGGCAATCTCGGGAGGGAGATGTTGGTATTTCGCAGCTCTTGGGCCGTTTTATACCACAGACGTCGGATCCGAGAGGCGGCGCGACGCCCGCCGAAGTATACCCTGACGTCGGCTCGCCCATTGGCGGGAGTGTCGTGCTGCTGTTGTCGTAGCATGTCAGGTGTATTGCATGAAATGATGCCGTGAAAAAGCCCGAGGTAGCGTATTCTGTGTTAGGCACCTACGTGGACGTCATGCCGCGGTGGGCGTCCGGACAATATCAGAAGGACCGATCTGTACTCGCCTCAGGATCTTTGCAGCCTCTGAGCTCTGAACGGCATCTAGTCAGAGTTCGAGTGACAAATGGAGACGGTCCTGCCACGGAGCAAATTCCTCGACAAAAACTCGTTGAACGTTCGCCGTGGGCGCTCCGCGTCTCTCACGAGATCTTGCGCGGGCTTGAACGTGAATTGCTCCACTGAACTAAATGATAATCATCAGTGGAATGTTTTCCTCGCCTGCCAAAATATTTATTACCTCCGCGCCGAAGATGCGGCTTCAGTGCTCAAGGACCACATGAAATGTGCACCTGTGCGTGTGTCAGACGGTTGTGAGTACCTTGGGGCAAGAATCGATTTTCTTGAACAACAAAGCCGGCACTAAGAGATCCAATCCGGGAGCTGGATCCCAGGATTTAAAAATGGCTTCGCCAATCAACGAAAAGTGACACGGCTGAAGGACGATATGAAGGGCGCAAACTGGGCGCCGGCGGAAGTGTTTCGCCATCCGACATCGGATCCCTGTGAATAAGGTTCCAGGATTCAGGGCAGATCATGGGCGAAAAAGATGACGACCCAAAATAATGCAGAACAAACAGCAGAACAAAAAACCAGGACAGGGGCGTGCACTGTGAGTGGGGATCTATATTTGAGAAGGGGAGGGTTGACCGACAGGGGTTATTCAGGCCCACCATATCGTGGCACAGGTAACACGAGTTCCCGACCCCCGGACGTTGCAGCAGAGTTAGGTTCCGCGAGTTTGGAGTTTGCCGCCTTGGTTTGGACCACACTGCACTAGGTCTCAGGTTGAGTAAGCGCTGGGAAGGCCATTGAGGGAATGCATGCTATTCAGCACTTATTCACGGCTAGATACTATGAGAGTGGTGCCGCTCGCCTGCGTACTGAGGACGACTCGGAATGCTGTGAGACAAAACTCGAGATCGTGAGCACAAGAGATTGAATGTAGTAGGTACTATACCGGTGAGGTAGTTATGTAGCAATTTTCGCAAGTACGCTGGCAGATACATACCGATCAAGGAGAGTGGTCGTCTCAATGTCTCAGCACAATTTAAGCCCAATCTTCTGAGAATACGGGAGTGCACGCGGTACCCGGGAGTTGGAAAGGAAAGGAATTGCTTTCGAACGTTAGCCGCCGAGGGGAATGAAAATACACCACGCCCAAACCGCGCCGCGGGTTGGCAACACGACAGCGAAGGAAGAGGTCAGATGCCGGGTGTGCAAAGTTGATCCTATCATCGCACAGCCACTTTGGCTCTCGTCTTCCACCACGTCCTCCGAAGGCTCATTTCTTGCAAAAACATCGACTGCTACTCGACATTACACAGGTGTGTCGTCTATCGACGGATACGAGCTGGAATATCGGTCTACGGCTGGCGAACAAGGATAATCTCCAAATAATCTCAGTCGCCGTCGCAGCGGACCAATTTGGTGGTTTCAACCCACATACTGCATACAGTCACAGCTTTGGCGACAGCGATGTGAACTCTCTGGTCGGCTCTGACGTCTCTCCCACACTATTGTCCGGTAAATCAGTTGATTCAGTTCCAACAGATGTTCGGTGTGATGTTACTTTCCGCGGACCACAGTGCTATCCTCACTCTGCTTGGACTCCACAAACAAGCGGAATATTCGTATTCGTCCAGTCAATGTCTCGAACCCCGGGATATCCAGGTAAGAGCCTTTCAACGCAACTTTCTCCCCTTCTGCGTTTTTGCAGCGACTCTTTATCACATCAGCGAAGCCTCATTGATCAGGTACAGCCCTTCTATCTGTCTCGAATGGTGGTCATGAGGCGGAAACATACGACTGTTCATCTCCTCCATCGCCGCAGCCACTGTTCGATAGGTTCTGGTAGTCGGCATTCACACGAGCACAGCGCCGCACGTTTCTATGATTAGCCTGCGAGGGCCCAGGACTCATTTATAATTCAGGATCAAGGGAGCGTGCTTCTTCGGTCCTCCCTTTCGCCCCCCACAGTCTTGACGACTTTTTTCTTCTGCACGTCCCCGTATTTCATAAGCTATCCGTTTAATATCCTTCCAGCGATGATCGCAGCCGGAGTCGACACACCATTGATCCTTGGCGTTATGGAAATTGGCGTCTTCCTCAGTCTCGTCATGTTTGGGGTAGTAGCCCTCCAGGGATACGTCTACTTCCGCAACTGCCACTCGGACCGAGCTGGAATGAAGACACTGGTAAGTGCTAGATAAATTCGATGTCGCTGCTACTCACCTGTGCATCGTCCAGGTGGGATCCGTTCTTATCTTTGAGCTCTGCCACTCTATCGCCAGCTGCCACGCAATCTACTACTTCACCGTCATTCTCGCTGGCGTCCCGGAATTTGAAAAGCCGGCGAACTCCTACTCCGTCTCCCTCCTCCCCGTGTTCGAGACACTCATCACCGCTCTCGTGCAAGTACGCACGATCCTGCTTTCGTCTTTCTGAGCGGCCAAGCTGACCAACACCAGGGATTTTTCGCTTACCGAATCCGCCTCTTGTCGGGCCGCATATACTTCAGCCTGGTCTGCTGGGCTCTCTGCTTTGTCCGCTTTGTCGGCGGAATGGCGGTGGCGGCCGTGGGCTTCCTCGACATTCCCTTGGAGCCAGATTATTTCCATCTCCAGGACACGTATGGCTGGCTCATCACCTCCTCGCTGAGTGTCGGTGTAGCCGTTGACGTTCTAATCTCCTTATTGCTATGTTTTTATATCCGCCAACTGTATACGCCGTCCCCGTACAACTTGCCCAGGTGCGTTGGCTCGGTATTGCGTTTGATCCCTTATTGACCGCCTTGAAAGGAGTGAACAACTAATTCATCGCTTGATTGTTTGGACGATCCGTGAGCCTCCATCTCATCTAAACTCCCTTCGGCCTCACTCAATTCTTTTGAAGAAACGGGATTGATCACAAGGTGATGATATTCTCCGAGGGGCGCTACTAGATTGCTGAGACAAAGGTTAGCAACGGTCGGACCTCGGAGGCTTAAGCCTCAGTGCTAATAGCACTAAGCTAGGCTTAAGCCTCAGTGCTAATAAGCACACATTCTATAGAGCCTAATAGCTGGCAGGATTAAGCCGGGATTATATTCAATTAGCACACAGGGATTACAGTGTACGCGACGATAGTATGTAGGATTATAATAGGATTATCAAAGGATTACGGTCAGGATTGTAGGGAGTCAGGATTACAACAGCGAGTGAGGATTATCGGCGCGGTAAGCATGAAGGAGTCAGGATAACGAGGATTATCGGCGCCATAAGCGTACCGAGCGAGGATTATAGAGCTAGGATTACAAGTGGTGACCGGGGATTATGATTGATAAGAATTGAGGAGGGAAGATTACAAGTCGCGGGATTATAAGTAGCGTGCGAGGATTATCGGT